CCTTGAACTCACCTCCTTTTCTGTACAAAGGGAGTGAGTAGCAGTACAAAAGGAGTGAGTCGCAACAGAACGAGGTCTGCTAAGCGAAAAGTACTAGAATGTGAATCTACATGAAACAGGGGAGATTGCCTGTTCAGCTCAGAGTAGCTCTGTGTAGCTCAGAGCCACGATTGCCGCCGCCTCTGCAGTGACTCTGTCCGGGAGGACTCAAGATTCGAATCACAATGTTGGTGAATTATCGACACTAATTGCATAGCTGGACCGGATTTAACTTGGGTCTGGAGCAGAATTATATCGGTCGACGGGTCTGGTCTGCAGGTTTCAGTAGTTTCTCCCATCAACACCAGACGAATGCCGGAGTAGTACCCTAACAAACGGGTCACGGATCGCGCGCGATCTTCCCTTCCTCCCCTTACACAGAATTATATAACTTTTCCTAAACTAAGTATATTACTTCGTATATACGTACGAATACGGGAAGGTAAAAAAAAGCATTATAGGGGCAAAGTGTTCTGAAAATAATGCACTCTTCAGCACGTTATTAAATGAAAAATCCAAGGTTTCCTTCCTCGACGGTATTTTGCGATTCAGAATTTGAAGAGACTTTCGGAAGTATGTGTGTAAAAATTTCTTGGAAAGTATTTTTATTTGCAATTTTGAAAGGATTAAATATTTTGTTTTCAATTTTAAATAAATATATTGAGAAAATCGGGAAACAATTCAAAACACAGTGTAGTACTTTTTTATAGTTCTCTTGCTATTATAACATTACATAATTTGTGTAACTTTGGAATGGTTTCCGTAGTTTATTTGAAAATTTAAATTGTCATGACAGACAATTGTTAATATAGTTATTCTAATTATTTATCTTCGTTTATCTTCCATTTTGATATAAATTTCATAATTTTGTTACCATTAGATACACCACTATTTATTAATTCAATAACTGTACGTCTGCTGGCATTGTGTTCAAATGTTCTCTCGGGCTTCAAAATGTTTTTGAGCGTTGAATTGTGTATTCTCTCATCTAGTATCTGCACGTGTAGTTTTATCGTAACGTTTTATATTCCTTACTAATATTGTTTGTTTTCACTAACTACTTTCACTAATACTTATGTATTTGACTTACAAAAGAAAAACACGTGCACAACACATTAGCATGATTACTTTGTGCTGCCACATTGACGCAGAAAGTTACTACTACGGTGGATTATAGAAGAAGGTTTCAGGAATAATGACAAATTAAAAATTTTCACGTAGCTAATTTTATCCAAGTAGAAAAACAGGGGCATTCCTGTTTGAATGACCCTCGTACATCGGTGTTTGGTGAATATACGAAATCTCCTTGCGGTACACCAGTATACAACGAGTTGCATATCAACCAGGGTCGGATGTCCCGCGCGTAACTTTGCTGTAAAAAATATCGTATGTTCAATGCTAAAAAATTATAATTTTCTAATCCTCAACATGCCTGGAAAGTTCTTAGTGTTTATTCTGAGATGCCTTACATAATAATCCGCTATGGAAACAGAATACCTTCGAACTTCAACAGAACACTTAGCCGCTAACACGTCAAAATACTAGTTTGCTTTCTGCAGATAACGGAAGGGTACAAAATGAGATTTTTAATTTCAATAACAAATAAAAATGAGTTTTTCATAATTAGGAAAATAAAACAGAGTAGTTAGTGATGATATACATCAACTTTCTTCATTTTAATACATACAAAGTTGACCTATTCACTAATAAGTTTGTTAGCAGTATTTTATACCCATATAACATTGTTTAGGTTGTTATAAAGTTAGTCGTATGTGTGTTTACCTACAATTTAGCGTAAGATAATTCGTATTCCAGCTACCCACACAAACTCCATGAATGTGACAGTCGCAACATTTCGACAAATTTGGAGCTTGTTGTAACACCCCAAACCACGATGGATGTGCAACAAACGACTCACCATTGATTAGCGAGAGGTACGAGTTTATCACCTGAGTGGTTAAAATGGTCTTCAGTGTAACATATGGGGTTATTATGCGATTACTTAAACGATAGGAAAGCGATAACACATTTACCGTAAAGACATATTTCATTTCGAGTTTAGAATTGAGGTTGTAAATATCAACACAAATTCTGCCAATAATTTACAAACCCAGCCATACGTTTTGTTCTAATTCATCTGAGCGAAACAGCCCAGTTTGACTCATTTCTTATCGTTGCACGTCGCTGTCGTTTCTCGCGACGTCTTCCTCGTTCTCGGCGCTGCAACCCGCGCGGCAGCTCGTGACCGTGTAGGGTAGGCGAGTCTGCAAGACCAGCCCTGAAGACGACCACGATAAGATGGTGGAAACGTCGGCAACACAGCCTTCGACGCGGCGTCACCCGGACAGCCAAGATCATTTACATGACTCCGGTGGCGGAAGCCTACTACTTCATCAATAACTCATTTACCGTAAAGACATTTCATTTCGAGTATTGTAAATATCAACACAAACCCTGACAATAATTTACAAACCCTGACAATAATTTACTAACCCTGACAATAATTTACAAACCCTGACAATAATTTACTAACCCTGACAATAATTTACAAACCCAGCCATACGTTTTGTTCTAATTCATGTGAGCAAAACAACTCAGTATGACTCATTTCGTCTCGTTGCACCTCGCTGTCGCTCCTCGCGGCGTCTTCTCGTTCTCTGCGCTGCACCCCGTGCTGCTGCTGCCTGTGGCCCTGTAAGGTAGGCGGGTCGCGTGCGCCGTAGGATATTAATTCCACCGCAACAGAAAGGCCGCGCTACGTTGCTGATCCCTACTTTCGCTTTTTCATTACTCTGCGCGCTTTGAATTTTTAAACGCGTGCGCTGCCTTCGTCCGCGATACCGCATGCCGTGCACCGAGCAGGACCCAGCTCGCCCTGCGCCGGCAGCCTTGCACACTGCTCCCGAACGGGGCGAATATCAGTGGCAAATTCATGGATGAAAATACCTTGCTATGAATAAATTTAAATAAATAAATACTTATGAATAAATGAAAAAACTGAAAATTAACCTGTTGCACAGGTACAAAATGTGAACAAGGTGGAGCATTATGCTTTCAGCAAACATTGAAAACGTGACACATCCACTTCGCTCTTTTCCAGTAAAAATGACGAATACAGCGCAAATTCTACAGTTTTCAACGCAATTTTAATTCAACAAATAGAGTACTACATAACTTATTATAAGACAACTCTAGTTGTTTTTTGGAAATAAAATTGTAGATAGAAATATCAAGTAGTACTCAACTCAAGTTTTGCCAAATGGACAAATCACCATTTTGAAAGTTCGCTCTTCACTTTCTTTAAGCTGCTGGTGCTGCAACAGGCTTCTCGTGTATATGTTCAATAGCGACCTATACCATTAGCCTGCAGTAGCGAAAATGCTACTGAAAATGACACAAAATTAATTTTTATAACGTACCATGCACAATGATCAAGAAAAGCAAATAAAATTCTCTCATATAGCATTTGAATAGTGAAATATTTTCACAAAAACAGTTTGTCACAAATACGAAATACTATAAATAGAAATGTATATCAATACTAGAGTTTTTTACCACGAAACACGACATTAAAAATAAAGTGACTACACAAAATAACATGAATAGGTCCTTATTCGCAATGAAATAAATATATGAGCCGTGTTTGCCACCAATATTGTTTATTATAATTAGCAGCTTTCGATAGCTTAGCCATCATCAATTTCCTGCTGTATGGAAGCCACAAAATGACAATCCATGGCATCTATACAGCAGAAAACTGATGATGTTGGCTGAGTCATCGAAATCTGCTATTATAATTAATAATATTGTTGGCCAAGAGGACTCACATAATTATTTCATTGTAAATGCCACCGATAACTCACCACAATATCTTTATTCGCAATTCCATTACCGTCAAATACGAAAGAAAGCACAATTTCGCATATGACAATTATTCTGCCCGACAATATGATAGTGGATTCAAATTCCGTGATGAGGAAACCGAATTGTTTGGTGCTCATCACTCAAAAACTGCTCCAATTTTTTTCTTCAAACTTTCTTGTTTGGTTAGTTCTAAATGCACTGTATAAGATATCATCAATGCCATTTTTCTACATTCTTTTGTTGTTGTTTTTTCAAAAATTAAACAAATGTTTTTTGAAGTCCCTCTCACGTTTATATTTTCGACTTTTTCTTTACTATATTACATATTTTGTAAGTACAGTGCTTCGCATGATTTCTTATGAATTTTCTCGGAAATTCAAAAGTTTTCTGTGACGAGCTCAAATTTTGCGTTTCAGAACGCTCAAACGACATTTTCTCCAGCTGTAAGCTTTGTAATAAATACGTGCATATGGGACCTTGTTTTACTCCCTTAAATATTATTAGAGTCAATCTTTAATTCTACTATTAAAATCCGAAAAAATAAGAAAAAAGTATTCTGGAGGCGCCGATAGATATCATCTTGAAATTGGTTGTGACAATACCAAAAAACAAGCTTAGACCAAAGAGATTAGAAAACAAACTAGTGCGTTAAAGTCTGTGTCATTCTATCGAACAAATAATTTGCATTATATTTACAATTTTAGGAAGCTTCACTGCTCGCATCGAATCGAGAAAGTGCGAAGCGCTCTCTTTCCGCGCCATTTCGGTCCACTGCGAGAGGTACCGTGGGGTGGGAGTGGGGGCGGATTTCCAGAGGGCTCTGCCGGATGAGGAGCTTTTACCTAGAACGCGAGAAGGGGGCGTTGGCAGCTTTCCGGCTCCTCCATGTCGCCGGCAGTGGACGGGGAAGGCTTTCACTGTACTTACCTGCGCAGCCTGACCCTGCCTTTTTGGGGGGCTTGGGTGGCTCATACGTTCTTTTTACTTTTTTATCGACTTCAGAGCAATACCTGAATGCGTTGGCTGTGGCAGACGCTCGGAAGACATTCAAACGCACTGTGTGAGTTACGAAGTGCAGTTGAAGTAAAATCAATGGTTCAAACAGGAGATGAACTGTTCTGAATGGCAATTCCAGCTGCGCTCAGATTAATCTTCTCGTCTAACTGCTCTATTAAGCATGCGCATTGATTTAGTTATGTTGTGGCAGTGTCTGATTCAACGGATTGCGAAACGTTTATCACTGAATTGGAACTAATTAATTATTCAAACAATGGGGAACACTAGTGATCCATTTTGTCATTTTGTGATAAACGATGTCCTGATTATGAATTTATGTTTAGTATGGTTGTAACGTGTTTTCAGGAATTCCTGCTGTCATTGTGGTGACTTGGGCAATCACCAAACACTTTGGACAGACATCTGTACCAGAGACATCGGTGAGTATTAAAGGATAGATTTAAATATGAATTGCGCTAGATGACCATATATTTTGAAAATAAACATGATACAGAAATACTCAAATATATGTACGCTAACAATACGAATTTTACCAGGGACATTTCAAACAGGTGTATAGAAGGAAGACCCCCCCCCGTACGCTACAATTTTAAAACTAACACACAGAACCAAAACCTGTTTTATGCCTCAAAATTGTCCATTTTAGGCAGATTTTTAAGTATATGAATATTTGTATTCATGTTATTTTATGATAGAACATACAAAACATACGAACATAAGTATAACAAGTTAAATAGTCTAACAATATTTTCATTAATTATATTATATTACACCTTAAGGAGACTTTCTGTCATACCATCGCCATCCAGGTTTGAGTTTGCATTGAGATCGTAGGTTATAATATTTTCCTTAATTGTTTCAAGGTGACAAATAGCTATTTGAGGAAGAGTGTCGTTAGTGCCAAAAATTATATGATCTGCAAATAATATTTTATATTTATATTAAGTTGCTTTTTCTGACATTTTTAATGATATAATGGGCTCGGATATTAAAATGGGTCAGAGTCATCTCACGTCCCTGTCCAGGGGGAAGAATGGTGATACTGGGGTAGGGGAGAAGGGGAAAGGGGAAGTGGTGGGGGAAGTGGTGGGGGAAGGGGGCGGGGAAGGTGGGGGAGGGGTTGGACGGAAGAGGTAACTCCTTAGGAGAGGGACGGTGAACCTTGAACAAGTGCAGTTGCGTACGTTCTAACCTGGTTCTAACATTTTTCATCGTTATAGAGGAAGTCCCTTCGAAGTCACGAGCTGAAAAAATAGGGAGACACTTTCATTCAATCTGGAGCTTCAATACTAAAACTTGTTGTTACAAAGCTCGCGATTTGATGACCGTGATTTGATGACAGCTCGTGGCCTTGAAAGAACTTCCTGTTTTCATCGGAGTGTAAATGGGGATTGTTATTCTCTAAGTACTGAACTGTGATCCACAGTGTAGTTCCTGGCCGAACGTTCATGTTGTTTGTAGGGAAAACATTATAACATCTGAAGTTATGTACCCTATTTATTAGAATCGGTTAAAGTATGATACACGGTACACCCTCGTGAAGCGTGGTGGCGGGGAGGGGTCTCCTCAAACCCTTAAATTTGCGCTCTGATAGAAATTTATAAAACTTACGGATAGGCGATTTTCATGGCTCGTCTTTCATACGCTTTGTCCCCGCCGCATTGTAATGCCAATTTACTTTCAAAAGCAAGTTTTCTCGCTTCGGTCACCCGGATTCAAGTCACGGCGAGGCTAGGGTCTTCAGCCCTCGCGTTCACTATAAACATCCTTGAGTCTACCCACCGCATAATTACCAATCACTTGTATAAAAAAGCACTTTTCAAGAAAGCCTCCAGAATTCAAACTGCGTAGTTGCCGCCGGAGCGGCGCGAACTGCCGTAAGTTGTACCGTATACTAGACTTCAATCTTAGAATCTAATGCGAACCTTCTTTGACCAAATGTAGTACGCAAAATCTTGATGCGCATTAGATTCCGAAATCCGTTGCGTAGAAAGACAGTAATTTCTTTCAATTTGTTTTGTTTATTACTTCATGAATTATTGATAGTTTTCAAATTCAACTTCGTTTCATTTATCAATGATCTAATATTGTAGGTTGTTAATTACGATAAGGAGGACAAATACAGAAAAACGTCTTATTAAATTCACTTCATTAAATTGTAAAGCAGTTAGAACGCTAATTATGTAAACGATAAATCCATTGTTGTACTTCATAAATTTAAATAAAATTCCGAATATATTTTTCGTTGTTGTGCATAACATTCATAATTTTAAATTTCAAACATGGGGTGCGCATTGGAACCAATGTCGCATTAATTCACGTAAATGCGTTATATCTAATGTGGAACCTCTTCTGTTGAGACTTGAAAGGATTCCAGTAGGTTTTTTGTTATTCGGTTGGATGAAGGTGTGTCGGCGAAAAACTCATAATATGACGTGGCCTGGGATCAGGGAAGCCTGACTTGAGAAAAGATATTGGTGCCGTTGTTTTGACACCTAACCTCAATAATTTACTTTCTAATACGTTATGGATCACATTCAACACGTCACGGGGCACAATACTATGGAACACATTCGACAAAATTATTCTATTGTTTAACGATATTGGTGGTGTAACTGGGAACTCTTGCTCCGAAACTGTGATTGATGTGTATTCAGTAAGTAGTTAATCTGCTATCTAGATGCACAGTGTGGTATTTGATATTTTGGAATCAAATATGATTGCTGATAGGTCTATTATTTTAGTTAATGCTTGAATGAAATCAATACTTAGAGCATAAATTGCTGAATTGACAACTGTGAAAGTATTATTTTTAGGGAACATCTTACCTTGAGATGCTTGTGCGTAGTTCGGTTGGTTGGTGGCAGACTTGAAGAACTGGTTGATCTTGTAGTGTGGGATCCATATTCGTTCTTCTACGATGTTGTATATCAAGTACAGTAGATTACAAGCATACTAAAACACGCACAATCACAGAAAAGAGTACACACGCGGTTTAACTTTCACTTCTCTACACTAAGGCCGTACGGCGTTATCGCACAACTCGCTGAGGCCCTTGCTCCGGTAGGAAACGTCCGAACAGGCCGGTGTCACGACGAGAACTGCGCGCGAGTTTGTTATATCACTTGAAAAAAATTCCATTGAAATAGATAGTTTATTAAAGGTTTACTACTTAAGAATGAATGAAATAAAGCTATTATTTTTTTATTTCTACGTTAAGTTTATTATTGCCTTTGTTATGGAGCTCGATGTACACTTACACAAACTTATCTGGTTCGAGAGGATCATGGTTACGACGGATATATGAAAACAGTTGAATAATGCTACATGTTATCTTATGGAGGGAATTATGGGAGGGAAATATGAAAAGACAAGCCGAGTCAAGTTAGCATTTAGTTAATTAGTAATTAAGTGAATATGAATCAATAAAATTAGGTAAAAAATTAAATTATGTATGTACCACGGGCGTTAACTGATTCTAATGATCGTGCGGCAACAAAATGCCTTTTTTCTTTATAACATATTTATTTGTTCATGATGGAACACATCGTATAGTACAATTACTTTACAAATGTTTTTTAGACTTATGGTAGTTATATTAAAGCTAACTTAATCTATACATTGGAGAGGATACTCTAAAAAAGAACCTCGGGTATCTTGGTTGGCTAAGATTTTAAGAAAGGCTCCAAACGGAAATCTGTTTTTTATTCGGGTGTGAGTTGGATTTTTCGCTAGTTTGAAATGGGAAGCTGCTTGGATGTCTGTTACGTTTTGGTAGAAATTGTGTGATAAATGGGCTATTTGGTTTATTATTGTATTGATGTACGATTCTGAACGAAGTTGTTTGTTACTTATAAACCAGGAGGCATTTGTGATTAATCTTAAAAAAATGTTTTTATTTACTTGGATTTTATTGACATTTGTGGGGGCTGCGACAAAATTCCTGAAGGGCCTTTGACCCGAGAGATTTTTGTTATCGCTAGATATTTAGAACTCTTATAACGCTCTTGGTGCATAAATAATTTTAAGTAGATTCAAGCTGAAGTAAATTAATATTACCTTTGGTTATTCTGTAGGTTGACCCAAGAGAAGAAGGACTGCTAATGAGCCATTGCCCTTTAATGGCACCTGATCACTTTGACTGGATACACGAGGCTCCGGTCATAACTGTACTCGCTATGAACCTCGTCTTCCTCGTTTCCATCATGTGGGTTAGTGGTTTTTCTGACTTTAATGAAAATCTCGAAATGCACTGGATTTAAAAATGGTAAAGATCTTAGTGAGCAGAGTCAGTAAAGATTTTATTACAGAATAAGTTCGTTATTGATTTCATATTTTACTAACATTAATGTTTCTAGCTTTCAATTTAGATCAAAAACGAAGATCAAAAACACAGATATACTTATAAGTTAATACGTGAGATGTTGCCATTTAATTGAAAATGTAAGAGTTGATTACTCATAATGACTCTAAAATTGCTTATTTTCTGTAATTAGAAAAAAATTGTAACACCGATTTCAGAGCAATTTAAGAGTTCTACCTGAAAGTACCAAGTAATCATTGGCTATTGTACTCAACTGCATTGCGCTATTGACCACTACTACTATATTAGGCGCTCAGAACAAAATACATGTAAATGAAATTTTCGTGAAATGGTGAAAAAGACTCTGAAATTTGAAATGTTAATGAAAATTAGGATCGTTTCCCCTGACAAAGTCATTTACGGTAGTTATTGAGATATTTATACAGAGTTATATTAGAAAAGTATATACTGCTTACGAGTACAAAGTCAAGAAACAGAAATATAAGAAATAATTATTTTCAAAAACAACTGTTTTCATCTTCAAAAATTTCTGAGTAATATCCAGGTCAGTACAATCATGCATTCATTCAAAATAAAAGTGCTTTAAACTCAAAATATTTATATTGTATAGCGTGAGAACTTTTTATGTACAAAATTATAAATGTCTATGCATATCAGTACAAATAGAGCAAGGACGAAGTAACTTACCTGAATTTTTAACATATTCATCGTTATCACTTGAAGGAATTTTGTTTCCTACAACAAATTCTTTCTTGAGTAGTGTTGATTCACGCGATGTTCTGTTTTGGTAATGTGCAGGCATTTCTCAGTGAACGATATCAAAAATTGCTGGGTAAACAGATGGAATAAAGTCTTTAAGTTGGGGCAGATTTTTATGCTTTTATTTTTATTTCGCTTTGGACTTTCATTCATTCTAGGTACAATTTTTTGAGGTTTACTGCCGAAGGTCTCCCATCTAAAATTTAAAAAAAGTTTAAAGCTGCTATTCTTTGCCCATACCATTGAAAATTTAACTATGTTTTGTTTAAATTTTGACCTTCACAACAATAACTTCAAGCAATTACATGATGTGATGACGTGCTATCCTTTTTACAGGATATTTTTAAACAAGATCCAACCTTTTCGGAGACTTAATAATGTATTCCCCCCTCGAAACAAATATTATGTCACCTCAAACAAATAATCTGGCGCATTTAGCTGCTTTTTGCTCTGAACAGTGCCGTTCTGAGAGTACAAACTTTGACCGCGTAGATGGCTGCAAAAAGCATCGCGAATAATAATGAAGAATTTTATCAAGAATGATACGATATTCATATTAATGCAATGGTCATTAATATGAATTTTGAAAAAAAATTACTTGTATTGTTTAAAATTTCGAAAAAAATTCACTTATCTGGCTTTTGGTCTGAGCGCCTCGTAATTCCGTAAAATATTATTACATTCAATATGATTGTTGTACGTTCGTAATAAAGAATAACCTATAATTTAGTCGTGAAGATATTTCAAATGAATGTCATATTTCAATTTTTCCACGGCATCTCCACTATGTAGTAATTTCTGAAAATTTCATAATTATAAATGTGAAAACAATTTTGTTTGACAATCATGTAGTAATTCAGGGTCAGAGCAGTTGGAAGTTGATGTTGTCTCAGGTCCTGATCACGAAACTTCGATCAGCTAACACCGCGGAAACAAAGCAGTACCGCAAGGCGACGAAGGCGCTGCTGGTGCTGTTCCCGCTGCTGGGCATCACCTACATCCTCATGATGCAGGGCCCCATGGAGGGCGTGGCCGGCGACGTCTTCCGCAACACGCGTGCGCTGCTCGTCGGCCTGCAGGTGAGGACACGCCAAATGGCACGCTCTGCAGGGTGCTCGGTTCCATAGGGACCTAGAGTATTTCTATTATCTTCCAAAATACGTCCAAATGTTGATGTGAGTGTGTAAAGACGTGGTCTTGTGCAATACGTCTGCGCTGATCGTGGGCCTGCAGATGAGTGCACGCCCACTAGCACGCTCTGCAGGGTGCAAAGGATCCATAGGGGGATGGAATATTTTAAAGATCTTCCCAACACATCCCATGGTTTGTGTATTTGTGTGAGGACGAGGTCTTATGCAACATGCGTGAGCTGCTCGTCGGCCTGCAGGTGAGAGCACGCTCACTGGCACGCTCTGCAGAAGCTACAGGTTCTCCAGGAAGGTGAAATATTTCAATGATTTCTCCAACACATCCAATGGTTTGTGTGAGTGTGTTAGGACGAGGTCTGAAGCAACACGCGAGTGCTGTTCGTCGGTCTCCAAGTGAGGGCACGCCGTTAGCACGTTCTGCAGGGTGCACAGGTTCTCTAGAAGATCGGAGTATTTCAATGATCTTCCCAACAAGTCCAATGGTCTGTGTAAGTAGTTTTATGTGGCCGACGTCATGAAACACGCGTATGTTGCTTGTCGGTCTGCAGGTGACGGCACGCTCTGCAGGAGCTACAGGTTTTCTAGAAAAGTGGAATATTTCAATGATTTCCCCAACACATTCAATGGTTTGTGTGAGTGTGTTAGGATGAGGTCTTAAGCAACACGAATGTGGTGTTCGTCGGCCTGCAGGTAACGACATTCCGTTAGTACGTTCTGCAGGGTGCACAGGTTCTCTAGCAGGATTATTCCAATGATCTACCCAACAAGTCCAATGGTCTGTGTAAGTATTTTTATGTGGCCAACGTCATGCAACATGAGTGTGTTGCTCGTCGGTCTGCAAGTGAAGGCACGCTCTGCAGAAGCTGAAGGTTCCCTCGGGGGATATAGTATTTCAATGATCTTCCCGATGGATCAACCGACCGGGTTGTTAGCGGGTAATAGTATGCGAGTGAGACGATTATGTTGTGTGCAAGGATTCACAGTGGCGCTATTCTAATGCTTCGTGACCACGGAGATGTAAAACCCCCTAACGCAGTGCACGATGCGTTGGTGGAAGATATTGTTTGCGAGAGAGAGGATTTCTTTTTGTGTCCAGGGGTTTACCGTGGCGCTGTTCTACTGCTTCGTGAACACGGAGGTGCAGAACACCCTCCGGCATCGCATGAGCCGCTGGCGAGAGGCGCGGGCGGTGGGTGGAGGGAGGCGCTATACTCTGAGTGGGCACAGTAAGGACTGGAGCCCGCGATCTCGCACGGAGAGCATCCGGTAAGCGCCATCGCTGACCGCGCCCCGTCAACCCTTCCAGGACTGAACGTATAACGTATTTGCATTTAACAACATTGTAATTCATGATCACGTTTTTAGAGTTTAATTTAGCTCCCATTTAAAAAATATTTCAAAATGTGGATGTCGGACATATGTATCCCAACAGTCTTTAAAGGCTTCGGACTTTCCAAAGAACACGTCACCACTAGTCACAACTAGTAAAATACGCAGGGACGTAAAATACAGTTTTACAGGACAAACAACTTCAGGAGAGTTTAAAAATATTTAAAGTAAATTATGCCAACTTTACATCGCGTTATAGGACACATAAGATCCAAATTGTTAAACAATGACAGGGACACATGTATCCCTGTAGTACCGAGAGCGTTAGAAAGCTCGCTTTCAAGCGAAAGTTCTCGCTCCTATCTCTTCCTTGGAGAAACTAATTCTAGTGCTACCTATGACATCCTCCAGCACAATGTTGCTGTTTACACAAATCATTATTGGGATGGATTCCAAATTATGTTTATGTACAGATGTGATGTTACTGTTTTCTATTAACGTACGCTGACAGTAACACGACAATACAAGTAACATCAGTATGGAAATATGAAGCTATAAGCAATGCAGGCTTACTTATAAGTGTGATATGCAACATTAATTATTTGGTATTATATATTTTTAGTCTATGAGCAGAAAATATTGTATTTGGCTTTAAATTATTACTTTACGGAAAATAAAATAGAATACATTCTCTAAATCGTCCTCCCAAATTTTGGTGATTTCTTAACAAAGTTTTGATCTACTTCACTACACATTTATTTTAATATATACTCTATTCTTAAAAACTGATTTTTTCTCCTACATTTTGTATTTTTATTTTAACATAATGAAACTAACTTATTGTATTCCCTTATTTCTATCTCCTATTGATTTTCTGCAATACTAAAAAGGTATATGTACGTGAATGTTAATAAAATCTTTATAATAATAATATGAAATAATATATTGCTCGTATAGAGACAAAAAGAGATAGAAGTATAAATAGGCACTAAGAAATAAAAAATATGAATTAAAGAAATGTTCGAGCATAGTCCGTTAAACCAGGTGTGCTTAAAAGCAGGAATTTGAGCCAGGCTACCGGAGGAGGCCCTCTGCAGTGACCTGCGGGCCACTATTCTTTCACTAAACTAGAGCCGGTTACCCTTTCCCGGCGAAGTGCGCAGAGACGGGTATGCCAAGTATGCCGCTCATTTGAAAAGCCCTGCTTTAGCCGTTATTATAAAGTAGTTCTATAACCATGTAAAGGTTATAGAAAGAGTACAATATTAAAATTGAATCTAATTATATTTGTAATATATCGTTGGTAAATGCTCAAACATTTCTTTAACTTTCGTGTTAGATATCGTTATTCTGTTCCTTTTGTGTGTTCTTGCCGTGCATGAATCTATTTATCTACATGTGCTTGATATTTTGTAATATAACCTATTCTTCTAAAGCTTATGTAGCGTGTCGAACGATGTAGTTGAGTTTTTTACTTTATATTTTGCTTGTTGTTTTCCAAAATTCCGTGATGCTTTGCTTATAGACTGCTGACCACTTATTTGCTTTATAACTTAAGTGTTTTGTTTTGCTTCCTACCTCTGTGTTACTTAAATAATAATATAATCAAAAGTAAAAGTAAGATTTACTCAAAGCTTTTTTTTCGCAAACTTAATAGTTCAGCCCAACGTTGCAATAGTATTTCCGTTTATATTTTTAATCTCACTAACGCTGAATAATTCGGTTTTTCGAATTTCTAGACATACACATAGCAACACAAGAGTTTGGCAGAAACAGAAACAAGCGTTAGAAAATCTCACGAAAATTAATTTTAAGAAAGATTTTAAATGCTAAGCTCGGTTAACAAAAAAATCATTTTGTTGTCGATCTAACTGACGTAACATTTTTAAAGCATAAGCATTACATTGTCACAAAATTTATATGATTATCACTGAAGATAATACAATCCCCGCCGTCTCGGCAAACGGCAGTTTAGGATCCAGGGGCCGAGAAGAAGGAGTGTGGACTTAGGCGCGGACTTCCGAGTTGTTTGGGTGCAGGGGGCGAGCGAGAGGGACGGGGATGACACAGCCTCGCGGTATTGGTTGCGTGAACTACGGCGCCCTTTCGCCTCTTTCAAGTGCCTCCTCCTCGAGCTCTTTCCTGCTCTCACTCGGTCCGCACCTCGATGCAGTGAGTTTAAAACGCGCGAACCATACGCGCCCGCCAGCTCTCGAGCCTTTGCCCCTGGGGCGATTTGGCGAACTCGCCAAGATAACACGTGGCGGGCGGGTGGGTGACGGGCGGAGGCGAGGGTGGACGGATATTGTGGGTGGGCGGTGTTGGTGGGGCAGGGATGACTGGAAAGAGGCACGGGGGTGTGATGCAGGGTTAGAGATGTCGGGGATTTCTGGGTGGAGTTGAAAGGACGGTGTGGCGGGGGTGGGTTGCAAGGCGGGTTGGCGACGGTGTTGCGGGGTGGAGTTTGCGTGGTGGGGTTGGCGCTGGCGAGGTTGGTGGACCGTATTTGTCTATGTGGCTGGGGATGGCAGTGGAGGGTTGGCGTGGCATGAGTTTTTGCGTGAGTGGTTTGGGTTGGCGGGGATGGTGGGTGGGTGGGGTGGGCTAGGGCAGGGGTTGCGTGGCCGGGTTGGGCGGCGGGGGTCCGCCGGGCGGAGTTGGCGTGGCAGTGTTAACAATGTCGCGGGGTTTTCGTGGTGGGGTTGACGTGGTGGGGGTTTGTTTGTGGCTGGGTTGGCGGTCCGCGGGGTGGGCGTGGCGGGGTTGGCGTAGCGGGTTGCGTGGCGGGGTTGGGCGTGGCGGGGGGTTGGCGTGGCGGGTTTGGATTGCGGGGTAAGGCGTGTGGGCGGGTTTTGGCGTGAAACGGGGTTTTGGCGTGGCTAAGGGTTGGTGGGGCGGGTGGGCGTGTCATTGTTTAACATGGCGGGGATGGCGGTGGGGCGGGGTTGGCGTGGCGGGGTTGCGTGGCGGGTAGCGGGATGGGGTTGGCGGGGCGGAATCGGGTGGGGTGGGTCTTAGTGGGCAGTGCTTGGCGGAGAGTGGGGCTTGGCGGGAAGAGCGTGGGCGGGGCGGGGTTGGCGGGGAAATTAGTGGGCGAGGCGGTTTGTGCGGGGTGATAGGCCGGGAATGGAGCGGGTTGGGAGATTCAGGGACGGGGAAGGTGAGGTGTTACGCTGAAATATTCGCTGCGCGCGCGAGTTGTTTCGAGGCGACGGAGCTCTAGAATCGTGAGGGGGGAAGAGGGCGTGAGGGCGAAGAACGCTTTTTGGGGCATCAGAAAACAATTTAGAGGGGCGCCTTTTGTCACTTGCGGAGCTGTCGGGAAGATAGTCGCTCTTGCGGTGCCGAATTCAGATAAGATGATGCGAGAAGAAATGAAATTTTGGGATGCTCAAAAATGAGATGCTACGTTTTAAGGGGGATGTAGTACAGGATAGGATCATAGTGTGGCCACTTTTTTTCCTCGGTACTTTAGATAAATTTACCACTTTGCCACCTATTTCTCTTTTTCCGTCGTTCAAACGTGTTTCTAGTTTCTGGACATGTTGTGATGATAATATTCTCTAAATGAACTCATAATCGTGATGGAATCGATTCTTTGATTCCAAAGTTGTCTATTATGATGTTAATCAGTTCCATTACTCTTTTTTTTCTTTATCACGTACTATATATCGTTGAAGGTATCCGTGTCCCGGTTCCGCATTCGATATTCAATCTAGATATTTATCTGTACAACTCTGATGTGTATACAGCATTGTGGGCTTTCACGGCCGGAGTCAATATTCTTCATGTCTTCCGGGCTGATGGGTCGTGGTCCAATTGGCTCTGAGATGCCAAACGTTTCGCCCACTCAGAGCCAATTGGACCACGGCTCTGATGTGTATGTTCGAAGCAGTAGTGGCGTTGCACATGAAGATATATTGAGACCAAAACAATCAAAAGAAGGAATGATCGTTGGTGAATTTCAAACAAACATTAGAGAAGCTACTTTGATAAACGAGGATTTTTTAACAGAGGCTACTTAAAATAATAAAACGGCGCTGGGGCTGTGAAATGGATACTGAAAAGGCAAGTTGCTGGGCCGTGTTCTGTGAGATAGGATGGCAGCGGAAGCTGTGGCTTGGGGCGGCGAGAACTTAGTCCTGGTCTGTCGAAAATCCCTGGTATCGCCTAGTGGGGGTCGTGGTCCTCGGAGAGCAAGTGGGAAGCGAACTGATGTTGTAGGCCTCGAACGTAATCGCGGCGAAGCGAGGTCGTTCGACAACACTCGCATGAAAACTAACATGTTGTGACGACGTCGGTGCTTCCGATCTGTCACTACTACACCCTGACGGTTCGACAGTCGCCCTTGCGTAGGGCGCCTTGCCAAACGGGGAGAAGCCGTTCTTTCTGCTCTGCGAGCAAAAGACGAAAATCGCTGCACTTCTCGCTCCCTATTGTGAGACTGCAGTGGTGGTGCACTCGATTTAACCGCTTGAACAGGCACAACACTTTTTCTGGGTTTACGAGAAAATAATTCTGTCATTTGAAGTTCCTCTTCTAGCTCGCTACCCCCATTTGCCTCAAGAGACTATTTCCACGTGGGTGGATGTCGGGAACAAAAGAAGGCGAACAAGATGCCTTTTTCCGAAAGAAATAAGTAAATAAACACTTTATTGCTGTAAGAAGGAAATATAAAAATATATTAGGACTATTGTGCAAGTTCTTAGATCTCATTGCACACCAACTATTGGTTTTCAGAGCCCTAGAATAAATAGTAGATCTATGCGCAAATATTGTGAACCTATTAGGTTTGACCTGGTTATTCTGAACAAATAAATGAGTGGTCTTGATATAATACAAATAAAACAGTTTAAAGCCTTCAGATAATTGCATTGTTTAGAAATTAGTGGAAGAAATTATCTGTGAAAATGTGGAAATAGAGAATACATTATTGA